AATTAAATATAATTATAAAAACTAAATATGATTATAAAAACAAAATTATATCCGCGTGGACACGTGGGTTAAAATCTAGCATAATTTGTAAATGAAGGGAGAGAAAAGTAAAAAAAGGAGAAAGATGGAAAAAAATAGTAAAAAGAAAGGATCGATGAGAGAGAACTTGAAGATAGTTTGGAGAAAATAGCTTCACTTTTCTAAGACTATTTAGACCATATACAATGAGGGTGTTGAAAACCCCTTTCAACTGTTGAAACATTTACAATGAGGGTGTTGATAAATTTAGTTTATCTATGTGGCATAAACACCCGTTGCAAAATTTCAACATGTTGAAACTTTTTCTTTGTGCCCCACAGCTGCCACATGTCGTTTTTGATTGACTATACAGATTTCTTTTGTTTTTTTTTCACCCAATAATTCAAACGTATTTTTTTATAATAAAACTTTTTAAAAAAATATAAAAAATATATCAAAAGTCAAGATTTTTCTTTATCTATTAATAGAGACTACTTTCATTTCATTTGGATACCAAAAACAAAACGTAAATTTTAGTATAATAATTTAAAACAAATATTATTAAAATTTAACTTTTAGTTTTTAATGATATTAATATTACTTAAAAATAAACTTAATATAATAATTTAAAATAAATATTATTAAATTTTATGCTATTTTAGTTTTAAGTTAAGTATTAATATTTAATTATTATGTTGTAAAAAAATAAGAATTAAAAGTTGTGGGGTAGGGTGTTGGAATTTTTAAAACAAACCATTGTAGATGTTTAAAATGAAGTGGGTGTTGAATAAATTATGTGGAAGAGAGAGAAGATGATGTGTAATGAAAATAAGGGTGTTGAAAGTAGAGAGGGTGTTGAAACAATTGTTCATGGTCTTACAATGACGTGTTGAATAAAAGATTCAACAGTTGAATCACTACAATGGGAGCTAGTGTTGAAAAATGAAATTTGATGATGTGGATTAAATTGTGTTCAAAAGATTCAACATGTTGAATAAGAAGAAAGTGGGGGCCATCGATGACACATGTCACTTTTTAAGAATTTTTGATATTTTCATATCCTCTTACTTATTTAAAATCAATCATCTTATTATATATTAAATAATTTATTTTTATTTCTTATGAAAACATTTATCATTTTAAGTTCTTTGTAAATAGATATTAGGTTTATTTAATTTGGATATAGAAAAAAATAATTATTAATTAAAAAATTAAGGTGTTGAAATTTATTAAACAAAACCATTGTAGTGGATAAAAGTTGAATGTATGTTGAATAATGAGGTGGAAGAAAGAGAAAATGATGTGGAGTGTTAAAAGATGAAGTGGAGGGTGTTGAATCTTAAAACCATTGTGGATAATCTAACACTGTCTGACGCATGACAGAAGCTCAAATAGAAGGAGAGAGTAGAGAGTATGGACAAAATCATCATGAAAAAAGGATGAAGAAAGTGAACGTAGTTTCCTAATAAAGGGGCTGATTATGAATAGAAGCCAATTTTCTCAATGTTTTTTGGAGAATGTCACTTTTCCTTATTTTCTGTAAAATATTTTTGTAAATATCATTCTTATTTTCTGTAAATATGTCGAGACATTATAGTGCATCTATCTTTCAAGAACCAATCTCAAAAAAAAAAGTTCAATAGCCTGTTAAGGTGAATATACAAATTGTTGGTGAATTTGTAAATCTGTGCAATATTTTTAATAATTGGCTAACCAAATAATTTTAGGGATGGTTTCCCTATTATGTCTTCTAGATGAGACAGAAGTATTATTTAGATATGACCTGTTACTCGGAATATGGTCAAATTTTGACTTGTATTTCTAATAAAGAGGAAACGAAAACAAAAATTGAAACTGGATACAGTTAGGATAATGGAAGATAGAAGAGCTTCAAACCGGATACACATTTAATAATTAAATGGAGAAGAGAGGTAAGATATTTTACAAATTATTGGTCGGAAATATCATTCATGTAACTGTTTCTAACGTAAGGTGTGCAGAACAAAACAACTTATGACAATGGTTGTATGAATCTTTTGGTTTGACTGTGATTATAAATGATTGTAGAAAACAACATAGCTTTGGTAGTCAACTATGTGATCAGTGTATCGGATCTGGAACTGCTCGTTCTGTTCATCCTCTTCCCTGTTATTATCCTTAACTGGGCCATTGACTAGTTCAAATTGACAAATTTTGATTTTTATTTTAGTGAAGAGGAAACGTAAACAAACAATTGAAACCGGTTACAGTTTTGATAATTGAAGAGAGAAGCGATTGAAACCGAATAAATTTTTAATAATTGAAGAGAGAAGAAGTGTAAGATATTTTACAAATTATTGGTCGAAATGTGATTCGTGTCACTATTCTGAACGTAAATTGGGGAGAGCTCGACGCCATAGGACCATAGTCTCCTGTTCAGCTTCACATATCCCAGTGAAATACTTCTGATTTGTATGAATCTTTCGCTTTAACCGTATTTGGACCTTCAAATTATGCTTAAATATGGTTGTAGTAACTTGATATTAGCAGTAGTAACCGGTTTTAATGTGTGTAGTAACTTGATATTGAAGGCAGTAACCGGTTTTACTTATCATCCTCATAATCTTACATACAGAAATAATAACATTACAGAATTTTAAAATTACAAAAGGAATTCAAATTTAATAAAGTAACAATGATTACCGATGTTAAGGTTAAAAGTCATAAACATATAAATGTAAATAGTAATCATAGTAGATATAAATTAGTATTACGAAGCAATACCATATAAGAGTTCATGACTGAAAATGAAATGACAATAGTTAAGTAAATCCTCAACACAGCAAATGAAAAAAGTATAGAAAGAAGATAAATAACAGTCATCCTGCAGCTTGGCATGGAACTCGTAAATCATTTTTACCAAAAGATGACTCTCTCAAGTACCGGATCTCATCTTTGTTGAGAGCGTTAAGGATGGTGTTGATTGCTCGGAAAGGCTGGTAAGTCAGAACCCCAACGCCGACTGGTTCCTCTCCCTCCGCGAACATCATCTGAGGTAAATCGACTGCAGTTTCATTTACTATGTCTTCTGGAAAATCGACTATTCTTGAAGCAACAATTACGAATTGGTTATAAGAGATTTTGCAAACTGAAATAAGAACTGAGATTTGTGTTTTTGTTCTGCTTTCTTTCTCGGTGCTCTCAAAGGTTTGTTATGTCTGTATGCTCTGTTTTTCTCGGCTTACATGATTGATCTCTTCAAACATCACTTGTTTTTGATCAAAGGTTTGAAGTTTTCTTTCATATATATATGCAGGTCTGATCGTAGGTCCAATAGCTGATTATGAACTTAGTACATTGCTTTTTATTTTCAAGGATTTGGGAGCATATGATGAAGTGGTTTGAGATGGAAGGCAAAGAACTATTAGACCAAGGAGTGATAACACCAGATGATCTATATGAGTCTTTAAAGGGAAGACATGGAAACAAATCATCCATTATCAATGTCTTCTTATGAATGTTGTGATGATAATAATCTCACTAAAAACAACCGTGACATGGTTTAATTCTTTGTGTTGTAGAATGATGGGAATGGTACGGAGCATAACTAAGCTTCCGACGTATAGGAGAAGGTGCAGGCAAGTGGTTAAGACTCTAATAACGTATTGGTTAGAGAAACAAGGATTGAATTGAACCGGTTCCATGAGTTCTGGAGATTTCGTTGAAGAGGTCTAACCTAATGGGAGCAACAATTGTTGTCTTTGAAGAAATATATATCGTTTGGGCTTTTTAATTTCCTCTGCAAGATATATTTTTAATTTCGTGTGGTAGAAGGTATAAAATATAATGTACAGAAGTACTGGTACACATTTAGCTTTGTGTTTTTGTATTAACTAGAGATTTTATCCGGGGTACGCCCGAAATTAGATAAATATCAATGTATCTAAGATATAAATGTGCACTTTGTATCACATCCATTTTTATAAGAAAAAATACCATATATTGAATTAGAAATGGTTAAATCTCACAATTTATCTTTTTACCATCTAAAATGTCATAAAAAGGTGAGTAAAATCATTATGGTTTTTAGAATCTACATAGATTAATGATATTTACAATGATGTTTTGATTACTAACTTGGGATCATATAAAATCATCTTGATTCATATATCTAATATAAGTTTAAGGCCGCGAGTAATATAAAGTTCAGATTATAATAGTGTATAATATATCTTACAAAAGGTTGAAAAGACACTACTATCGACTTATTTTTGTTAGTAAATAAGATGCTAAAATTGACAAAAATAAAGAGAAATATTCTCTTTTAGTCTTAAAGAAAATTCATAAATAGTAATCTTTGTTTTACTTTACTAATCTTTGTTTTTATATTTTTATTTAAAAATCTATGTTTAAAATGTTATCTTTTAATATGTTTTATTTAATCACAAATTTTAAGTTTAATAAAAATATGTAATATTTTTTTTAAAAAAAACTCTTAATTAAAAACCTTGCAATGAAGCATTTAAATTTTTGGGTTTCTTAACTTTGTCTCTTAAATCAATATTTGTGCTAAAAAGCATTAAAAATAATAAAAATCTCTAATATGGGTCTTTGCAATAATCATGTTCTAAGTCCACTTGAATCTAGAGCAGTCAAGTTGGAATTAGAGAGTTTTTATTAAATAAAATATTATATTTCAATAATAGAATATTGGGGTAGTTGTAAGTCCATTCAC